GATACGGATTATATATATATATATATATATATATATATATATATATATATATGAGTGTGTATGTGTGTGTGTGTTTGTTGCTGGTATTTTAAGTATAAAAATGTATTTTTATACTTTCATAAGGTTTTGCTTTCGTTTGGGGCTTCATTATTTGCCCTTAGTTGGGACCCTAGCACATGCTACCAGCCCGATTCAGGGTGAACCTAGTGAGAAACAACAATAAAGAGGCGGTTCCACTTGCCTCAAAACTACCTACAATAGGGCCGTATGTAGTTTCTCATCATACCCAACGCTATCCAACACGACAGTGACACAAAAAGTGTTAAAACTGACCAAGAACTGGTTCATGAACAATATCAATATTTTAGACTGGCCAAGCCTGAGAACAAGACTTTACTTAATTGAAAATATACGGAGAGATGAAGACACTGAAGTAATTGCGAAGCAGCCTCCCAGGCTTAAGAACGGAGATAACTTAGCAAGAGAATAATTGGCCAAAACCCCTGTTGAGATTTGGTGATAAATTATAAGAACTGGTTACAGACTGTGATAGCTAATGATAGAAGATACTAGTGCAGCGGTATTACAAAGACGAATTAAATGTTATGCCTGTTGGGAATTACATGAGAAATGGCATGAGAAATTTTAGCGTTCTAAAAGATTTTTATTTTTAATCTTTATTTTATTGCCCATCCTCATCCTTTGTTTTAGTGTTTTATATATATATATATATATATATATATATATATATATATATATATATAGGATTAATATATATATATATATATATATATATATATATATATATATATATATATATATATATATATATATATATATATATATATATATATAGTATGTGACTTAACTGATTGATGTTACCTTCAGCATCCAGAGTTTCGTAGGGGACCTCTCCGGTCACCTTTCAGGGGTGTCAGTAATACATATATATATATATATATATATATATATATATATATATGTATGTATGTATGTATATGTATGTGTGTGTGTGTGCGTGTGTGTGTGTGTGATAAAATACTGTTTTACGGTATGCTGTATTTATGGGATAATGTGCTCAGTATCAGGAATAAAGCGTATGTAAATATGAAAGTGAACATCGAAGTGAACACTAAGAGGCGACAGTCTGTTTCATGCTCAAACATAATCGTTAGGCTATGTGTTCGATAACTGCACTTAGCAGAAAAGGAAAATATGCATCCTCCGACAGGAATCGAACATGTATTCTATACGGAACCGTCATATAGCCTGACGTGCTTTAACGATTGAGACAGAGGAGCGTTTCGGTTAGCAAGGTCGATTTTTCTATGAAAATTTCTCGGACATTCAGGCCGGTAAATGTCGTTAATACTGTTTATTATAAACAGAGCATTTACTTAAATATTTGTATCTATAACAAGAACGTATAAACATAAAAAAATGTCTTAAAACAATTGTCGGACTTTGTCCATTTCATAATGTGTCACGTCATTTGTTTACATTTAGATACGCATCGAGCAGATATGAATGTACAAGAGAAAATCATGGAGAATTGTAGTTTTAAATCAGTAAAATCGACCTTTCCAACCGAAACGTTCCTCATGACAAGCCAAGACCAACTATGACTAGCTTAGACCAGCTTAGACCAGCGGCCCGAGGGAAAACACTCGGTTCCCCACGTTAAAAACTGACCTTGTGTCACAACCTGACTCATTAGGGGGTCAAGTAAATATCCATACTATATGACGGTTCCGTATAGGATACAGGTTCGATTCCTGTCGGAGGACGCATATTTTCAATGAAAATTTCTCGGACATTCAGGTCGATAAATGTCGTTAATACTGTTTATTATAAGCAGAGCATTTACTTAAATATTTCTATCTATAAAACGAACATATAAACATGTTTTAATATATGTATATGATTTTGTTTTTGTGAATAATAATTGAGGAGAAGTGTGTAAAATTTTGACATGAGACGCACTTCCGCGCTGACAAACTACAAATGGCGACCAAATGGCGACATAGTTCTCAGTAAGAACTAATTCTAACTATTTTGTGTGTGTCTGTGGGAGGCGGGGGCACCGGCGCGTGTATGTAACAATCCTCTTCTGTGCCAGACTTCAAACCTTCCCAAATTTAAAACAAAAAAATATTGTACTTTGGAGACTTTTGTACTAAAAAAAAAATCATTGTAATTATAGTGATTTTCCAAGCGTAGCTTAGATGTGGCTCAAGGCCGAAATTAGAGAATACCCAGTGAGGATCGAACTCACTACCCAGTCGTAATTGTTCTAGCAAGACAAGCTTGCTAACCATTACTCCGCCGCGAGGTGCCCCAAATCGTTTTAAATATGTAACCTTTATGAGAATAACACACGGATATCTTTCCTGAGGCGTTTATAAATTGTACACTGTTCAATTATCAACATTAACAATTGTACTTTGATTAAATGAAAATTACTTACAACATAATACATATTACTTATAATACATTCCTTCTTGACATCAATTTTGATGGCATGGGTGCACTAGTAATAATAATAATAATAATAAGAAGAAGAAGAAGAAGAAGAAATAGGGGAAGGAAAATAATAATAATAATAATAATAATAATAAGAAGAAGAAGAAGAAGAAGAAGAAGAAGAAGAAGAAGAAATGGTTGTTAAGAAATCAATGAAGTACAGTTAAATTAAGCAGAGGTACAAGCCTGTCGTGTAAATTTTGTACTGGTCGGCCGTGGCTTTTTAATTGACGGATATGACCAGAACGGTTTCTGCACGTTTACAACGGAGTTTCCATGTTGTAAGTTATATTTATTGCAACATCGATTTATTTTGCAACTATATATATATATATATATATATATATATATATATATATATATATATATATATATATATATGGGGAGAGAGAGGGAATGTAAGAAAGAGAGAGAGAAAGAGATAGAGAGATGTCGAGTTTAAAAAAATGCTCAGTGGAAATTGTCATGACGCCATTTTTGACCCTATGTCTCTGGTTGGGACCCGGAAAGAAAAATTAGTACACACCAGAAATCAAAGATAATAATAATAATAATAATAATAATAATAATAATAATAGGAAATGGTTGTTAATAAAGCAATGAAGTATAGTTAAACTTGGCTGTGTCAACAGATTACAGTATGAAAAATAAAAGAAACCGAAAATACTAAAACCTATACAGGACCCGAAAACTCTATATATGCATGATGGCTGTCGACTTGATCAACGAATATGACCATCGCTGACAATTTTGATCCATGGTTTTAGTTCTCTTGAGAACAGCACTCTTGAAGTCAGCAAGTAACTTGCAATGCTTATTGCAGGCGCGGCAAACTATGCTTCGTACAGAGTCCGGTCTGTTTTTTGAATTCTGTTCAGGTTGCTCGTAATTTTTTTTATGTAACGGGTGAAACCGGAGATGTTTCTGGAGGTCTTTAAACATGCGTACATATTTTGTAGACCAAAATTCTCAAACGTATTAAAATTATTCTATAATATCATACATGATTTTCGCAGTTTAACTTTGTTTCTATATAAAAAAAAATATCTAAAATATTTTAAACATGTCTATTTAATTGCTAGATCACTGTTTATTTAACCTTTGTATAATCAGATTGACGTAGATGATCAAGTTAAGAATATCAGATTGTTCTTTTTCGTCGGTGTTTCTTTGTACATAAATTATAACAGAATCCTTCTTATATATTTAAAATTCTATCATTCATCGTTGCTTTGAATATTGCCGCCACATCTTGTCTTGTGCTCCTGTTATATATTAAGAGATACTTAATAAAATTCAAAGAATCTGTAATGATACTGGTCTTGACCTGGCATCACTGCTTCAGTCACTTTTCTATCGTTGTAACGCAATATCTCTGTAATTTCCTATAAATAATTTCATGGTAATTGTTCTGAAAACTCTCCTCTATAGTACCTAGACTTTATAAATTTAAGCGCAGACGAGATTGTCGGCAAGGTCTCATCATTTTACAATTGAAATGGTCAGATATAACCGTAAGTTGCATGCTAATAGTTTCTTCTGTCGCACTTCTCGCTTGTGGAACTCTCTTCCTTTTTTTTTTTTTTTTTGTTTTCCAGTTAACTCTGATCTTTAAAAATTTAAACGAAATGTTAACTGTCTTTTGATTTCTGTTCTTTTATTGTTCTCGTTCCTTAGTAATATTTCTCTTTTTTCTTATCCTTTCACACTCGGTAACCCCCTTGTGTCTTAGTGGCTTTACTACCTTGCTTGGGATGAAATGATAAAGAAAAACATACACACACACACAACACTAACTCAAGTAGAATTTGAAATTAGTTAACAGATCCCTTTTTACATTCTTAAACCGTTTCGTCAGTTTTTCATTTCCATTATAAGGTAATAGTTGTCCGCACACATACTAAAATAAAATATAGCAATCCTACGTATATATTATTAGTAATAAAATCAACCCCATGTATATTTTATTAGTAATAAAAATCTGCCCAGTATCGTTCACAGTTCTTTTTTAGGACATCTCAGATAACTACTCCTACAATTATTAATTTTGTGCAATAGGGAAGGTACAAACTGAAAAGCAATCACTTGGAACTGGACTTTAGTTAATTTATACTTCCGGTCTTTGAAAATAGACTGGAAGATAATCTCTGTAATATGATACAGAAATAGTTAAAGAAGCCAAAAATACAATGATATAGGTCATAATGTCACACACATACACATTAGCGAACATTGCACAGTATCATGCACATATACCCTTGGCATAACACTGTATATATCAATGTATTTCATGTTTATGGCATGTTCGAAAAGCCTCATGCATCGATGTCTTTACAGACACTATTCTGATACAATATCTCACGTGACAATGCGCTGTATGTCACTGTAAGGCAATGACACGCATCAGCGTGCGATCTCATCGCAGCTTTCAAAAAAGATTTATTGTGGATAATTTTGACAAGTGAATATCAACTTACCTGCCACTTTCGAGCCGTATGCTACGCCCACGCCGCATTTGGCATTGTCCCTCTTAGCGGCGACTTCTCCGGCACATCGAGTTCCATGGCTGAAAAGAAAATAAATCTCTAGATATAGAGGGATAAATAAAAAGATCGATAGTAAACAAAATAAAGTAAAGCGTTCATACTTATCTTTCTGATTCATCGTTTCGCAGAACTGCCATCAACTGGTCAGCATTTAATACAAGATTCGAACTGTTTTTTTTTTGTTGTTTGTTTGTTTTAAAAAAATACAATTTTTATTATTAAATACACAGGTATGTTTATATTTTTAATAATATATTTAAAAACGTTTAGTTAGAATATATATATATATATATATATATATATTCATACACATACATAAATACATTCATATGTGGGCACCTGGTGTAGAGGAAAGATTAGATAATATTGTTGACAGAATCACTAGTGTAGTTAATTCTATCTTCATTGAGTGCGCCACAATTTTAGCCTGGTGCCAGAAAAATTAGACTAAGTAAATGACCATATAGAGGCTAAAGAGCGTGAAAACATACATGCAAAGTTACTATATTGAGATAGATAGATAGATAGATAGATAGATAGATAGATAGATAGATAGATAGATAGATAGATAGATGTAGAACAGAAAATAGATAGATAGATAGATAGATAGATAGATAGATAGATAGATAGATAGATAGATAGATGTAGAACGGAAAATAGATGATAAAATGATAGATAGATAGATGTAGAACAGAAAATAGACAGATAGATAGATAGATAGATAGATAGATAGATAGATAGATAGATGTAGAACAGAAAATAGACAGAAGATAGATAGATAGATAGATAGATAGATAGATAGATAGATAGATAGATAACAGAAAATAGATAGATAGATAGATAGATGTAGAACGGAAAATAGATGATAAAATGATAGATAGATAGATGTAGAACAGAAAATAGACAGATGATAAAATGATAGATAGATAGATAGATAGATAGATAGATAGATAGATAGATGTAGAACGGAAAATAGATGATAAAATGATAGATAGATAGATAGATGTAGAACAGAAAATAGACAGATGATAAAATGATAGATAGATAGATAGATAGATAGATAGATAACAGAAAATAGATAGATAGATAGATGTAGAACGGAAAATAGATTATAAAATGATAGATAGATAGATAGATGTAGAACAGAAAATAGACAGATGATAAAATGATAGATAGATAGATAGATAGATAACAGAAAATAGATAGATAGATAGATAGATAGATAGATAGATAGATAGATAGATGTAGAACAGAAAATAGACAGATGATAAAATGATAGATAGATAGATAGATAGATAGATAGATAGATAGATAGATAGATGTAGAATAGAGAACAGACAGATGATAATATTTATGATAGATAGATATAACTTAACAAATTATAATCAATATTAATAAATGTATAAATGCAAAATGAAAATAAAAAGATATTAAATCGAAAAAAATCCATATTTGCTTAAAAAAAAACAACTAGAAAAGTTTATTCAATAAACTCAACCTAGAGGACGACCTCAGTAGTCACTGCCTGACTAATCAGGTATTTATCATTGATGGCTGGCATCAAATTTACAGTCTTTAATGATACCTTGTTATTATAGTAGACCAGAGTAGGCATTTAAATCAGAACATTGAGTTCCAGTTTTTATGTGTGTGATACAATCGTAAAAAATATCGGGAAGATACTCTTACTCATGTAAGTCATGCAGTAGAGAGAAAACACATGCTAAAATATGTACGGCCGCTCCTCAACCCAAGTGTGACCACCGCATCTCTATGTAAACGGCGGTATTTCAGTAAAGAGAACAGGCTTGGTATGAAACAGCCGCTGCTCACAGCCGTTAAATTTTGCATGCCTGATAGTGGTGTCCACACAGAGTTAACTATCGTTCCTCTCGTTCATCTGGCCACTTTCATGAAGCTCACTATCTCCGAGTCACTGTGACTGGTAGCTAGTGCCACGAGCACAGTGAGCTTTTTTTACTTCCTGTATCAAATTATTAGGTGTCATGATATGCTCTCAATAAAATTTAGAAGAGAAATGAGAAATATTTGCACGTAGCGCAATTACATGCTTTTTTTTTCCATTTATAGTCCGAGAAATCCCAACTATATATAAAATGTTAAAAGTCTGCATATGTAAAATTATATAATGTACACATACAAATATTCATATAGTCACACAAATTTTTCAAATTGGTTATAATTTATTTTTTCTTACCTGTTGAACCATGTGTCGGTATATCTTGGATACGGAAAGGGGTCATGGCTGCTGAAGTCAAAGCTTGCTTCTGCATTCTAAACATAATAAATAAATTAAAAAAATATATGAGCAAACTTTTCAAAATATCATATTAAATTATATGTTGTAAAAATTCCGATAAAATAAATGTTTCTTAAGACAAAATTACTTTGAATATGTACGTGTGTACGC